CAGCATGGAGCATGCATGGCTGCCACCAAGATTCTAACATAACCACTTCCGCTCCCTCTTTCCAGCCTCCCTAATTCAAGTCATCACCAACATCTTACTCCTGTACTGCATTTCATTTGGACGTTCACAGGGAAGTTTCCCCTGAGTTGCTCAATTGGGTGCTTCCTTTCCATAGGAAACTTGGCTGTGCGAGGTCAAGGTCTGTTGACACGGCCAAAGGACCTTTACTATTTACAATGCCCTATGCCAAATGAGCACATCACGTCCTGGGACAGGGCACGTTAGTTCTTGGAAAGACTGCAGATGGGCCATTTGTCCCAATTCTCTCAGGCAGGGCATAGGGACAGCTTGCCATCTTCTATTGATTCCAAGGTGCACATTTCTGGACTTTTCTCCCAATCAATGGCATCATTTCATAACTGCTGGTCTGAGGTGGAAGCAGGTGCTCACACTGCTCCTGCCAGCCCTCCGGGGCCACCCAGCCTCAGACTGCGGTTCCTTTGGGTCACAATCTGAGTTTGCACAATCTTGAGGGTTTTTTGGGTCACACGGATTGTGCAAACTCAGAAAGCATGAGGACCACCGGCGGAAGCCCCCATTCTCAGGGGAGGATTTTCCATCCTGCCACCTAGTGTCGAGGTGGGGACACGCACACGTTCCCTCACTTCCTTCTCTGGGCGCTTTGGCACTTCCCCTGCCTCTGCCGGGGCTCCAGCTTGTGTGTGGGGGTCTCCTATTGGACTTCCCATCGTGGGCTTTTTATCTTTCTTATTTTTGGTGCATAAAATAATGATGTGTCTTATATTAGATGAAAATATGGTTTCTTATATTTGATGAAAAAAGTTTCTGTTACAAATATTATATATCACATCTGAAATGATCCAACATGCGAATAGAAAAGGAGGTGAGATTCTGAAGAAATGGTTTCATGGGGTCAGAATCACCCGGCTTGTCCTAAACCACTTCCCATCTGAGCTGCTCACTGGGCACTTCCACCCCCCACACCCCCGCACATCGGGCCTTGCCTAGCTGGGCACCCATCACGGCTCCCCATGACTCTGAGGATGAAGGCAGAGCTCTTAATATGGTCCTTGCTGGCCCTGCATCCTCTGCAGCCACATCCACACAGTACTCTTATTCCCTCCCCTCCAGCTCGCTTGCTTTCTATCTGCGTCACTTCGGGCTCCAATTCCCCTCCCACCCCAGGGCCCCGGCATGATGGCTCTGTAGCGAACAGTTCTTTCTCCCCAGTTTGCCTCGCCTCTCTCGGCTCCAGGGTCCCCACCTCACAGACAACTTCCCTGACTAGCGCAGACCCCCGCTGCAGGCTCCTGCAGTGCCGCATGCATCTCTTTCACAGCATATGTCCCAGCTGCAGTCCTCCATTTCTAAAATGTTCTTGATTAGTGTTGGAATCCTTCACTGGACTGCAAACGTTGTTAAGGCACACAACATGCCCATTTTCTCCTAACTCAGTATTCCCAGTGCCAAGCCGAGTGCCTGACAGTAGGTGCTCAGAAATTATTTGTGAATGGATGGATGGGTGAGTCTGAGTAAAACCTGCCTCTGAAGCAGACAGTGAACTCCTGGAGCCTGGGACAGTTAGGAGAAGCAGAAAGGGCAACAGACTTACAAGGAGACCTCCACTTTTGCCACTGTTATGCCATTGGGCAAATCTTATCCTCTCTGCTTCCTTACCTTCCAATTGGGAATAACAGTCACCCTACCTCTCCAACAAGGGTGTTTTGTGAGTCTGTCAAGACACTTTGAAATGATACATCTGCTTCCCCACCCCCAAGCCTCCAGCACAGCACTGGGCCCACGCTCCAGGAAAAGGGAGATAAGATCCTACAGTCCTCAGGGAGGAGTGCTCAGAGCTTGGGGTCAAGAAGGGACCACTGAACTTTGCGCTTCCCAGTCTCAACGTCCACCCTCTTCAAAAACTCTCACAGAGTTCCTCAGAGTTTTCAGGGCCCAATGACTTAAGCACGTAAGAGAGGAACTTTCTCTTACCAAGTCCCCTTTGGTATTCATTCCCAGCACAAGGTTGAGGCCCTTGGCCAGAGCGGGGAAAGCTGGAGAAGACTGAGATGCTGCCCCTTTCCTCCTGCTCTGAGGGCAGATGCTCAGACAGACACAGACCCGACAGGAAGCATGAGCCACGCCCTCCAGGACGCACTTCTCCAAGCAATCGGTGAACGGATGAGGCATTCCACTTTTACCCGGCAGAACACGTGAAGGTGCTTATTTTACCTCTGGGATCTGAGCTTCAATATTAAGGTGAATATTTACAGCAAAGCCTCACAGTTTCTTCCCATATCCCTCATTTTAGAGTCAGGCACCCTGAGTTTGTTTCGTGTATATCAACTAGCTATGAACGACTCTGAGTAGATAATTTTCCCCCTCTGAGTTAATTTCCTCATTAGTTACATGAAAATAATAGTAACAACAACAATAATGCCACCCGCCTTCCTCTCTCACAAAGGTCTTTTAAGGATCAAAGACATAAAGATCAAAGATGTAAGTGCCTGGTAAGTGATATCAATGCAAATGAAAAGTAACATTTTCTCTGTGCATTTTAAATTCCTCCTTCTGAAGCAGGAAAGCACCAAGCTGATGAACTGTTACCCATGGCTAACTCAGTATTACCCAAGATCTGCAGTCTCTAAGGCATATAGGTGGGAAGTGAAGTGTGCACAAATCTATGATCACAAATCAGTTATCAAGCACCTCCCCAGGGCCAGCCGTCCTCCCTCTGGAGAAAGATACATTGAAGGGTATTTATTCTCAATTGTTTTATCAGCTTGGCTGCCCTGACAGCCCTCCTCCCAGAAAACCAGGTGGGTGAGAGGCGGTACAGAATGAGTAACTCGCTAGCACGTCTGTGATTCTGGATTCTGTGAAGGGGGTGGAAGGCTATGCCTGCTACAGACATACATCCCTGCAGGATAATTCTAGCTAATGCCCAGCAGGGGGATTGGAAACACACTTCTGCAAAGCCATCCAGGGGGCATTGCTGATGAGACTCCTGTGCTCAGAGCTTCAAGCCAGCCAAGACTTCTTTGCCGCCTGATCTGTCGCGCGGCTCTGCTAGGGGCTCACTGGTGTCCCAGCAGAACACAGAGCCCAGGCCGTCTGTGCTGCCACTCTCCAGCTGGCAGCTGCCCACCAGTTCCTGGATCCACTGTAGGTCTGCTGAGAGCTCCTGCCTCAGAGCTTCAAACTGCACCTGCAGGTGGTCCAACTTCCTGGCCACGCTCCCGAGGCCGGATGCTGTGGTCTGGATGTCTTCTCGCAGGAGCTTCTTCAAGGACTCCACTTTGCGGAACTCGTACCTGAGCTGGGACAGGTCGTGCCGGGCACTCTCGCTCTCCTCTCGGTACCAAGCTTCCTTCTCATTGAAGATGGAGACCAGGGCCTCCACATCGTCCTGGATGGTGTCATGGGCTCCTGCCAGGGCATGGCATCCCTGGTCTACCCAAGCCACGTCCTCTACCACGTGAGCAAAACGCTCAAAGTTGACGTAGGTGTTGTTGGGAGGCATGCTCGAGTGGCACTTGAGGGTGTACTCTCTCAGGCGCTTGGTCTTCAGCTGAGTGGGCTCTGTCTTCCGCTGTTCTGGGGCTCTGTCTTCTCCTTTGGACTGGTGGGTGTTTAGACAGAAGAGCCAGGGTTAATTTGACACCTGCTCCAAAGGGCAGCTCGAGGTGGAGGCAGAAGGCACACGAGCAGCCTCTTTGACGTTCACTGCATGCGTCAGGCCATGTGGAGGCCCCGGGTAGGATGAGCACCCCTACAGACCATAAGCGAGGTCAAGAAGTTCAAGGGTGCTGCCTGCATGCTCATTCCAGGGCAGGGTGGTCCATGGCCATTAGAGGGTCTTCACACGCATAGCATTTAGGGGCGCTCGTGCAGACAAGCAGGCTGCAGCAGGACTCTGCGGGCATCCACTCGAGGGCAGGAACATACAAGGCCATGGCTGACAAGCCAGTCGGCTCCCTGTGCTTGGCAACACGCGGCAGGCTGAGCAGGGAGGCAGCATAAGAGACTCACTAGCTCTTAGCCCTGAGTTCAGCCCAAACCTGGGGGGGGCCCTTGGCCTTCTCCACCCTTCAACAAGCAGAGGAACCTGGTCTTTCTAGAGCACGCGAGCCCTCCCCACTTTCCACCTTCCAAATGCCTCTATCCCTTCTCATCTGCACCCTCAGATCACCCTCGCCAGCTCTCTCATCTAACAGTTAAAGTGAGTGGCAAGTCTGGCTAGGTCCCAGGAGTGCACATCTGCTCGGTTAACAAAACTAGTAAGGTCAGAGCCCCCATCTCCAGATTCCCACCCTCCCAAAGGGCTTTTCATGGCACTTTACTGTGACTAGACCGCAAGACCTTCTGGCACACCAGCAGCTGGAAGCGCAATTATAAAGCAGGTTAGGCAGGGAGTCACCTTTGTGCCCCTGCCCTCCCCAGAGGGAACGGACTTGCCCTGAGAGAGCGGCTGCCTCCCTCCCCACCAGGCCCCCCTCTCAGCCCCAGTCCCTGAGGGCTTGCGGTGCCCGAGGAAGCCAGGTAGCTGCTTTAAGTGTCATCCTTTGCTCACAGCTCCAAAAGTCATAAGGAACCCCCGTGGCAAAGCTGAGATTTTTCATTGTCATCGGTCTCTCTCTACAACTGGGGAGTCCCAATCTCTGCTTTGAGAAGACAGTGACGTAACATCTGACAAAGAACACTTTGTAAGATGGCCCCAAGGGAAAAGGGTCACAGCTGAGGTTTGTGAGGGTTGCATGTCGTAAGTCACCTGAACCCATGAAATATAAACTTAAACCTATAAACCTACTTGAAAGAGCCCAGAACCTTCGGAGCTCCCAACCAGCTTTCATTAGGCCTATGGGTTAGCATTTCAAGCTAAGGCCTTTCCGGGGGTCCTTTGCATCCGGCCACCCCAGCCAGCCCTGATGACAAAGCAGAGACTTCCTGCTTGCTGGAACTCACCACTGTGCTCTTACCGTGATCCAGGGGTGTCTGAGAGCCTCTTGGATTGTGAGCCGTTTCCTGCAATGAGGATCAGAAACTGCGATGAATCAAGAGGACAGAAGCTAAGAGCAAAGGGCTTCACTCTTACTGTTCTCAGACCTGCGTTTGGCATTCTTTGATCACTGCCCTCAAACCAGAATCACGGGGGATGTGGAAATGGACAAGGAGCTGGCTGAATTCTCTGCACCCCAGAGAAAATGGTCCAGGCGGACCCCTCTACAGAGAGACATCACATGACTCTCATCTGTGGTTCCACAGTTGAAGGGCCCAGCGCCGTACCACAGGGGAACCGTAAGGGCACTTCTGAGCTTCCAGCTTTCCATTGTGAAATCTCTGGTCTCTGTTTCTCTGCCTGTCTTCCAGATCTCTTCTCTGCTCTGCCCTTTGATCCTGCCTAGGGCTGCTCTAGATGGAGAAGTCCGGTTCCTGTGCTAGAGAGGACCCCACTCTGGCTCTCTCTGAAGTCTGTAGGACCAAGAAGACGTGACCTTCTAGAATCTGTGGACCTTATTCCTGCCCCAACTAGGCCAAGCTCTGGGCACCCAACACCCCAAATTCCCTGCCCATCTCCTGTGACCCCACAGCCTCAGAGCTCACCCCGGTCCTGGAGAAGGGGTCGGATCATCACATCCTGTTCTCTCACACCTTGGCCTCTCTGAACTCACCTCCCCAGCTCCCACCTGTACTGGCTCAAAAACTTCTGCCTTCCTTTTCAAACCTAGTTCCAGGTGCCCTTGGGACAGATTGCACAAGGTAAAGAGCCCTAGAGAAACCCAGGCTGACTTCCACACCCACACACAGACACAGGCACATCATACACGCACACTTATTTTCATTTCAGCAGGGAAAAAGAGCAGGAAGACTTGAGCAAACAAGATGAATGCCAGTCCCCACTTCTCCGTACCCGTCCAGATTAGACCCCAATGGTGCAGATGACAGTCCGTGACACAGTGGGGACAGAGTAACATGTCTTGGGGAAAGGCAACAGGAGCAGGTCAGTATCTGAGAAGCCCATGCCTTCCTCTGTGCTCTTACCGGGTCTCTTTAACCAGGAGCTTCCGAATGAAGTCCTTGGCCAGCTCGCTGGTCTGGCTGAAGAATTCCTCATCAAAGTCGTAACTCACTGCTGTGATATTTGCCAGCGTTTCCTGCTTCGTGTCTCCCAGAAAAGGGGATGCTCCACTCAGGCTGAGCACACGGAGAGACAGTAGGTGATTATAGGGGAGTAGATGGAAGCGGGGAGGATGGACTCAGGGGACCCTGAGTCCAATCCAATAACCTGTATGGAGCTCCTACTGAGCACTAGACAAAAGGAAACTGTGTCTTCCAGAGACTCGAAAGAGGAGGGGAGAGAAGCAGAGCAGAACCAAGCAGAATGTAACAGAAGGCCAGACAAGGGACTGTGGGAACACAGGGTGGAGGGGAGGCCCCAGGCAGGCTTCAGGGAGAGCTGGCATTTGCATCAGTGTGTCTTGAAGAATGAGGAGGTTGTCAGCAGTCAGAAGAGGAGATGAGAGGTCTCCTGGGCTAAGGGGGCAATATGAGCAAAGCCTGACAGGTGTGGAAGTAGATGGGCCATGAGGGACCAGAAGTGGGTGTGAGGTTCCCCTGCAGGGTTTGTCAAGGAGGTGTCACTCAAATAGTGACTCCCAAATCTACTGTCAGTTGCCTGTGGGAAGCATCTACCTAGATGTGGCATTGTCCCAGAAGTCACTGTGCCCAAACTTGAGCGCCCTGCCTTGATTAATGATGTCCCTTCACAAATGTATCCAAGCTGGAAACACAGGGGCCGCTCTGACTTTTCCTTCCATTTCTTCACCTCATCTATCCCCACCCATACTGCCATTTCTTAGCACAGTGCTAAGCACAGTGCATTGAAAATATTTGATTTTTCAGTCCTTAGGTTGGAATCCCAGCTCTGTGACTGTGACCTGGGTGAGCCTAGGTAAGTTACTCAACCTCCCTGAGCTGCAATTTCCTCATCTGTAAAATGAAGCGAATGAAAGTCTCTGCCTCCTGTGATTGTTGTGAAGAGTGAATACATATAAAGTGCTCCATGCAATCCTGGTCTACGCTAAAGCTCCAGAATTGACTGATGGCCATTATTATTGTTATTGCTAGAACACGAACACCCTTCCATGACTCCCCATTCTCTACAGGGTCGCATCTAAACTCCTGGGCACAATGGCATCAGAAGTTGGTTGGTCCCTACCACATTCTCAGTATGTTTCACCACACTCAGCACGCTAACTGTTCCCTTCCTTAGCAGGACAGCCCTTCTGTCCCTTTATACCTGGAGAATTAACCTCCTTCTGTATGGTCCAGTTCAAATCAATCAGTCAATCAATCAGTCAATCAATCTCTTTCTTGCTGCCCCATTAAACCTTCCAAAGCCCCAGCAGCCATTGCCTCCCCCATCTGTGTCTCACAGAGGCATGGTTCTACCTCTAACATGACCTTGGTCTCACCGGGTGACGGTTAGCTCTCTGGTGCTGTCCCTCACCCCACCCCAACACACAGAGCTCCAGACAAGCAGGGCAGACTCTCCATCACGTAAGTATCCCAAGTGCCTGGCACGATGCCCTTGGAGCAGGCACTCAAGAAACTGTATGGAATTCAAATTAGCTGTGAGACGACTATGTACCCTGTACACACTGGAATTCTTTAACATTTCCATGGGAACCAGAATTCTGCAGACATCAAAGTTTCAAGGGCCAGCGTCTGAATATCCTGGCTCTGATATGAAACTTTAGAGCAATGCATCAGATCCTCTGTCTTTGCATCAAATTTCTCTGGGGCTTTTAAAACATATTGGTGCCCAGATCTCACCCCTGGTGATTCTAATTTAATAGTTCTCAGGTGGAGCCTGTACCATGGTTGGTATTCAAAGGTCTAATGTGCAGCCAGGGTTTAGACCCTCTGCTGCAGCTCAAGGAGGTCCCCCACATCGGACAGAGCTCCAGGCCAAGTACTTCTGGAAGAGTCAGAAAACTGGTTTGTAGGGCAATGAGAGAATGATCTCCTCAGCTGTTGAGTCTGGCTGTGGGCTGACTCTTACCCAATGTGCCACAGAAATAGCATTTCCCAGGTGTGCTGTGAGGGGAAACTGGTTGGGCAGCACTGATGGAAGGAACACTACTAGTTAGTCATGTACTGCGGGCCGGAGCAGTGCTAAGAAATTTGCTCATGTCAGCTCACAAGGAGGGGGACCCCAAAAAACTGCAATTAACTTCTTGAGGGTGGGTGCCTTGTAGTACAGGCTTCCCCTGCTAGGTGAGTGTTTTAGGAACACGTCTGTATCAGTGTACCAGCTGGCATTGTTGTGAGAGGCTGCATTTGGCTTCAGTGAATTTTTTTTAGACCGTTTCATGATGCATGATTTATGAGTGTTCCTGCCCATGCAGCACTAGGTATTCAGCAGTTTTTGAACCAAAAACGGCATGACCCCTCTGCCCCATCCTCCCTATAGACCTGATCTTGCACAAGCAACTTTTTTTTTATTTCTTTGGATAAAAAAAGTCCTCTAAGGAAAATGCTTTGCCGATGTGAAAGAGGTGAAACAAAAATGGCAGAAGCACTAAAAAGGATCAAAATCGACAAGTTCAAAAACTGTTCTGAGCAGTGGAAAAAAGTCTTGATACGTGTACTGCATCAAATGGAGAGTACTTTGAAGGTGACTGAAGTTTAAACATGTAAGACTAAATATACAATTTTTTATAAATAAATTCCAGTTTTGGGGGTTCCCCCTCATATTTGACCTTCACAACACATCCCTGGAGGGAAGTTTGTGATTCCTACTTTTATGATCAAAACACAGACCTGGAAAGAGGTTAAGAATCTGCCCGAGGCCACAGATGGAAAGTGTCAGATCTACTACACAGAGCTGTGCAGGAAATCTCTGCTTAAGCAACTTAATACTTCAGGGACAGGAAAGAGAGACTGTGGGGAGAAAGGAGTGGACTGACGGGAGAATGTGAGCTCTGGGAAAGGAGGGGGAAGGGGAGAGAACAAGGCAGGGTCAGGGAGTGCACAGCAGCTAGAGAGCTGTCCCAAGGCCTCTGAGTGAAAGCTAACGTCCTCAGAGCACTTGGTCTGGGTGAAGCTGAGCGGCGGGTCCCTGGCCACCGGGCGCGGGGAGAGGGGGATGCAGGCAGAGGCTGCTCTCCCAGGATCCGACCCAACCTCAGCCCCAGGGTCAGTGTGTGAAATGGAGCTAAGAGGGCTTAGCCTCGGGTTTGCTGTGTGGCTCGAACACATCTGGTTCTTGGTGGGTGCTCAGGAAATGCCAGCCTGTTTGGGAGAAGTGGGAAGGGCTCATCTCTCACTCCTTCCAGTCCCCCAAGTCTAAGCTGGGTGGGAGACACAGAATCAGGATACTCACAGGATGTAGGTGATGACGCCTATGCTCCTGCAAAACAAAGAACAGGCAAGTCAGGGCCTCCTGGCCCTGATCCCAGACCAGCAAGGGAATCCCGCATGGTTCTCAGGGGGAGTGGTCACTCGGCCATTCATGGCAGCCTCTGAAGGGCCCCACAGCCCTCTCCATCCCGTTCTTCAGCAGCACCCCCGGATGCATTTAGAGTCATCGAGCTCTGGAGATTGAGCCTGAGGACGTAAGCTCAAGAGCAGACTCCTGCCCTTGCAGGCTGTGAATGGGGCATGTCCCCTATCACCTTTGAGCCTCTTTCTCCTCATACAGTGAGGACAATAATAACCACCCCCAGGACTGCTGGAAGGACTTTAGAAAACAATTCATCATGGTGCTCAGCCAACTACAAAGCACTGTTCAAATGAAACAGCTCCTGTCTGCACAGAGACTCAGTCACTGCGGTATCCCCAGGCCCACCACAGGGCCTAGAACTTGAGGCTCTCAGTCATCATTTGATTGACTGACTGAAAGAGCAATTGTTACATTATCTTGATCAGGGCTGTGTGGGCCTCCGAGGTGCTCCTGTGCCTCTGTCCTCAGCTCTCCCCTCACTTTCTGCCTCTTCTGTGTTCTAACTGGCCTCAGGTCCAAGCCTAGCTGCCTCGGGCTGCCCAGGCCTCAGACCCTGCACACCTAGAATAGCCAGAGTCTCTGAAAGGTGAGTATGGAGAAAGGGGTATTCGTTTTCTTTTCTTTTTTTTTTTAATTTTATTTATTTTATTTTTAGAGGGGAAGGGAGGGAGAGAGAAAAAGAGAGAAACATCAATATGTGGTTGCCTCTCACACGCCCCCCTACTGGGGACCTGGCTCACTATCCTGGTGTGTACCCTGACTAGGGATGGAACCAGCAACCCTGTGGTTCACAGGTTGGTGCTCAATCCACTGAGCCACACCAGCCAGGGCAGGGGTATTCATTTCCAAGAGGGACTAGCCAGAGCCAGGGTCTGAGGTCCTCTGCCCTTGGAAGGGTCCCTGTACCCCCTGGGTGGCCTGCACAACTCACCACATATCAGCCTCCAGGCCCAGGGGCTCATAGTTCACAATTTCTGGAGCTGAAAAAAGCCACATTGAAGAGTTAGCAGGAGTATGAAAATGGAAGCGATGGCTGGGGGGAATTTTAGGGAGTTTGAGGCCAAATGTCTCCATCCTGGATCCCCACTAAAAAAAAAAATCAAAGCAAGGGAAGGAGAAAATATCACTCTAAAAATTTTGAGGAAGTCAGTTGCCTGTTATATTGGTAGAAACCTTTTACAAAGAGGCCTTGACAGTGAGGAAAAGGGAAAGCACATAGGAATGTCTGGGAAAGGAAGAGGAAGAGGAGGGTGGGGAGAAGAAGATGCAAGAAGGGAAAATGTGGCCTAGTGACAAGGCCTACTTTAGAACGCTCTGGTGGGGAGCAGTCCAGTCGGCACTGGAAGGTGATGGAGAAGGTGGCAGAGAGGACTCTACGTCCCTCTGAGTCTGGTCTGAAAGAGGGTGTCTCCCCCCTGATGGGCAGGAGGACATTCTGGGGTCCAAATGATGAACTTGAGGTGCCTGAGGGGCATCAGGGGAAGGTGTCCAGGAAGAAGCTGGGACAGGGGAGGGGCCAGAGTCCTCATGTTTGGAGTCCCCATTGAGGTGGAGCCAGGAGCTGTGCAAACGACGTGGTGACCAGGAGAGGGTGTGGAGTCTGAGGAAGGAAGGCCCCACTGAGGAGAGAAGGAGACCAAGTGCAGCCTGGAGATCAAGCTGCCAGGCCCTGGGAAGTGAGTGTTGAATTTCACACTCACTGCAGTGACCAGAGAATGCCCTGAGTGTGGGAAGTGGAGATACATGTGCAGATGACTCTTGAAAAGCTTGGCTGTGAAATGGAGGAGAAAGAGAGGGCAGAGTCTCGAGAAGGGAGGAGGACTGAGCCTGCTTCACCACCAATGGAATAAGCGGGGAGTGGGCCAGGCTAAGTGTGTTGGTCTAACACAATATCAAAGCCACTGCATCCACAGGGTGTGCCCACCATCCCACCCCCCAACCTCCCTCTGCTTCCAGACACAGGGACCCATCCTCCCGGCTTTGCTGATTTTTTAGCTTCATAAAAATGATGTCACACTGCATGCGACCTACTGTCACTTGTTTTTTCCCTCATTCAACATTCTGCTTCTAGTGTTAACTGAACATCCATCCAAATCTTTCATTTTCACTGCTAGCTAATAGTCCACTGTGTGAACATACATACGTCATCTTCTACTTCTTCTCTTCTCAGGGACCATCAGGACCATTTCCACTTCTGTTATTACTGGGATACCATTTCTATGAACTTTTTTTGTACATGTCTCCTGGCACACACATGCAAGGCTTTATGTAGGAGAGTGATATTCAGAGTGTGGTCCACAGACAAATAGTCTGCTATTGTCACTGGCCCAGACAAGATAGGCACAGAATTTGGGAGTAAGCATTTAGAGACAAATCAAGAAATAAACATTCGAATTGTGATAATTTTTCTAGGAATTTATTTTTCTAGAAATTTATTTTTCTTGTATCTTACTGAAAAAGCAGTCCAGTACAGTTGAAGGATTTTTGTTTAAGTTTTTTTGCTGTAGAGAGTTTGAGAACACAACTCACTTTTTAGTGCTTATCTGCTCGATGTACTTATATACACATTTCTGCCCTCTATGTGCTTTTTCATTTGTCCATTTTTTCTGTGTTTTTCTTCTTTCTTTTTCTTTTTTTTAGTGTTCTTATCATTCCCCCCCAACTTATATTTTTGTAATAGCTGCGCTTAAGACTTTCCATGTCTGCCTAACAAACTCTAACACAAGCCAACACTCCGAACCTCCTCTAATGATGCAGGGCCCTGACTCCAAGCATTCTGGTCTATCTAACGTTATTTTCTTCAGTTTTTAGTCCTGTTTTTTTATTCTCACAATTGAAACTCCATCATTATTTTAAACAGGAAATGTTTATATGTGCCTAATGTTTACGGACTTCTTTGTTCCTCTTACTTCTTACATTGAGACGTCTCTCAGAGGCCCTTTTCCTTAACTTATTACTACACCTTTTAGACATTTCATTTTTAAAGTTCTGTTGATGTTTATTTGTTTTGTTTTTGTTGTTCTTTTTCTTTGTTTTTGTTTTTATTTTTTGCTTTGTTTTACCTGAGTCTTTTACCTTCATTCTTGAAATGCAGTTTTCCTGGGTATACAATTATGGTTTGTTAGTTTGTTTTCCTCAGCTCTTTGAAGATAATATTCTATTGAATGTTGGCTTTCATTGTTGTTTTGAGAATTGTGCTGTCCATCTAATTCCTGTTTGTTTGTTTGTTTGTTTGTTTGTTTTGTAGGTGATCTATCTTTTCTCTCTGGCTGCTTTTAAAATCTTCTCTTTGTCTTTGGTACCCTAGAGTTTAACTATAGTGTGGGTAGGTATGGAATTTTTTTTCTGTTTGATATACATTGTCCTTTCAGTATCTAATGTTCTTACATCAGTTCTGAAAATTCTTAGCCAGTCTTTTCACATGTCGCCTCTCTAGTGTTTCCATTCTTTCCCCTGAGACTCCAAATAGATCTGTGTTAGGCTGTCTTTTTTTATCCTCATTCACTTACCCACTCATATTTCTATGTCTGTCACTAGAGCTAATTTTTTCCAGCTCAGTGTTCCAATTCTTCAACACTCTCCTCAGCAGTACGTAATCTGCTATTTAGCTCATTTATTGAGTTTTAAATTTCTACGAGTATATACTGAATTTCTTAAAGTTCTATCTGGTTCCTTTTTGACACTCTCTTGTTGCTTGCTCATTCTTGTGATTCTGTCACTTATTTCCATATACATTTCATTTATTTTATAGTCAACATCTGACCATTTCAGTATCTTATGTCTTTGATCATCTAAATCTTGGTAGTCTCTGACTGAAATGCCAATATGCGGACTTGCCTTTAGGAGAGGTCTTCTACTGAACTTTCTTGCTGCCCACAGCTCCACCTCTACGTTTATTTCATTGGCTTTAGGGGATGGGTCAGATGATGCTGAAGGAATTACTACCCATACTCATTTCCTGTGAGTCCAGAATAGCTTTAAAAAGAGTATTTTTTAAGAACCCAGTTTTTCAGTAGGTGGGCTTTTGGAAGACCAGGTGCACCACCCTCCTAGAAGCTGACAGTACATTTTTAACCCTGGGTCTCAGGCTGAAATTTCAAAGAAATGGTGGGAGTAAGGAAAATGGTTATGACCTGTTTCTCAGCAGTCTTGGGCAAAGAAAGTCATTGTAGTTTGGGCAGGGGCTTAGAGAAGCCACTCCATATATCTGCAGGGGATAAAGGAAACTAGTTTGAGGCTAGAGCTGGCTCATATTGGCTCACAAGAGTCAACTGTGTGCATCTCTTCCCAACTCTGAATTCAGGGATAACAGATTGGTAGCCCACAATTGGGAAATACTATAAACTGAGGTTTTGTTCTGAGACCCAATTGTTAGACATTTACCACCATACCACTGGGCAAAACATTCCACAGTCTGGCCCTGCTCGCTAACATCCTGTTCATACAACCAGTCTGCGTGAACTCCAGGCTCCGCCCAAAGCGAACAGTGCATCGTCCCCGGTAAACGCACTAGTTCTGTCCCTCTGCCCCTCCTATGGGTGACCAAACCTGGGAGGTGCTCCTGCTCTACCCTGGCTCCCTCCCTGCCCCTCCTCACATACTTCTCCCACACACAACACTGATTCAAGGTGATAACTTATCCCATTGACTTCGCTAGAATAGATATCTTGCTTGAACAGTCTTTGAGGGCTGTCTATATTACTCTCTTTATAGTTACTCACATCCTGTCTTGTGGCCCATCATTGCCCTGAATTTCTAATTGAACCATTTATTGTTATTGAACAGTTGGTATGACTTAAATAAATAAACATACACATTTTTACTGGACACATGAATGGTGGGCAGCAACTGTTGTCTCAAAAAAGTTCAATAATAGATGTCTTCTGCCCCAGGCTCAAGTTGCTCTGCCTCGTGTGGCCTCATGTGTCACTCTGAGTGTGGCCCTTTGCCATTACTGTGTCTGTCTCTAGTTCCTCACCTAATATCTTTCATAACAAGGGTGAAGAATAACCACTGGGTGACCTTAAGGAAAACCCTCCAGCCCTCCAGTTCCACAGTCGTTAAACTAGACCAGATGAACTGCAAAGGGCCTTCCCAAACTCTTACTCGGTGGCTTGATGTGTTGTTTCCACAAACCATAAGCTCCCTGGGGCAGGGTCTCGTCGGAGAGACAATCCAGTGTAAGGGAAACAGCACAGCCTTTGGTGTTGGCTGTATCTGAGTTTGAATCTCAGCTCCACCACCTAGAGGTCGTTTTGCCCTGAACAAAGCTCTTGATAGAGGAAATAATTAAAGGTGTTTCCTTAGGTAGTTTGAAGAGTAACTGGGATACTGCCTACAGAGCACAAGGCATAGACAGCACTTGGCACACAGCAAAGGTGCCCTGCCAGTGGGTCCTCTGCAGCATCATTCCTGCAGAGTGGTGGCAGAGCTGGTATGTGTGGCCCAAAAATCCGTCAGAGTGAATGATCTGACACATTCTGTCTTCCTTTTCGTTTAGACTGTGCCCTCCCGCCATTTGCAGGACCACTCCAACTCCCAAAACAGACAGACAGTGGTTCTCAATTCTCATTCCTTTCCCCTTTGCAAGGCTGTTTCTTTGTAAAACCCCAGCCTGCAGCCCAAGCACAACGAAGGGGTTTCTGGGGCCAAGGCCAAGGGAGAGAGAAGGAGAGGGAGAGAGAGCCACCAGCGCCCTGCTGCAGGTGGGGCTCCCAGGAGTAAAGAAAGGACAGGCATACAAAAGAGGTGAGTGGGAGGATCTGTCATCTGGCAGATAATTTCCTTTCTTCTTTCCAGGAAATTGAAAGCTACTCCAAAAAAAAGTTGAATTTACAGGAATGTAAGAGGGTGAGGTAATTTTAAGTGTTCATAACAAACACATCTAAGAGCAGGAGGTGGGACCAGCTCTGGGAGGTTTAACTCTGCAAAGGCTGCTAGCCCTACCTGGCCTTCCCAAGGCCCAGCAGGCCCTCAAAGCCAGCCCTGGCCCCTCCCTACCCTAATGCCCGGCAACACACTTCCTTCCCCACACCTTACGTTTCCAGGGGGTCTCCAAGGCATCATCTCTCAGCTCCGAGGCCACAGCCCCAGACGCGGGGCTTGTTACTGGGATTTCTTTACCTTTTGATCCCAGATTCTAAGCTGGGGGAGAAATAGGCCTAACACTCACCAACAAATTCTGGTGTGCCAAAAATGTTCTTAAATTCAACTCCATCTTCTATTTCATGAGCCAGGCCAAAGTCAATCAGCTTGATGTGTGGAATGGGAATATTCTTGTCTAACAACATAATGTTTTCTGGCTGGAGAACAAACACAGAAAGGAAGAAAAGATGGTAATTAAAGCCCTGTATTGTGTTTTTGCTTTGGGGCTGGGGTGGGGTTTGCCATTCCTTTTTTGGAGACTGAAACAACACGGACTCTCTCTTATTTGCCCATCCTCAGTCTTCTGCTGTGAACTCAAAACCAGGACAGCACCCAGGGCCAGGACTGGGTTCCACCAAACCTGTTGTTCCTGCTGCTCCCAGAAGAGCTGGAAACCGGCTTTAATCCCCTTTCTGTCCCTGAATGGCAGATGCCTTCAATGCAGTGCCTCTGTTTCCTCCTCTGCAGAAAGGCACCAGAGATACCTGCCTTTCCTATAAACAAAACCACTGCCTCTGTGAATGCGATGCAGGTGGGGGCTTCACAGCCAAGCCTCGGTTTACACTTGGTTTGGTGACCTTCCTCTTCCTGACCACCTCCTGCCCCTGGCCAGCCAGCTTCCTGTTGACAGGACTCTTCTTTAGACTATCCGGGTAGCTCGTGCTTCTCTGTGTGTTTCACTAATTTTGGCCCTCAGCAGGGCACAGGAAGAAATGCACCTGATTTCTAGGGAAAATACCAGTGGTCTGAGCTATTTCCAGCAAACTTCCAAATCTGACACAGAACCGTGTGGGTGTGTGGTGGTTGAGGAACAGCCCTCCCCTGGCCTCACACAGCCTGGGCGCCCAGTGAGGCTCTGACAGGATCCTCAGCCTTCTCTTCTCACTCCCACCCAACTGCTCCGAGCACCCAGTGGGCAAGCAGGTCCCTCTGCTTCACCCTCTTCCTTCCCACTCCCCACCACCATTCTCTGAGACTCCACTGAAAGTGGGATGTCCTGAAAACATACATCCACCAAAAAACTTGTACCCAAATGTCACGGCAGCATTTGCACTGGCCCCAAAGTGGACACAACACAAATGTCCATCACTTGATGAGTGGATAAACAAAATGTGGTGTATCCATACAATGGAATACTATTTGGTCCTAAAAAGGAATGAAGGCAAAGATAAAAACAAAAAGGGAGGCAGTGGCAATGGCAGGGGTAGTGATAGTGGTGTGAGTGCAGTGGCGTGGGGATTGGCGGCAGCAAGCACAGATGTGTGGCTCCCGAGGCTTCAGCAACAGCCCTGCCTGACACAGGGCAGTTGGCGTGGGGCTTGGGTGTGCAAGGCAGTGAGGAAGTGTCTTTTGCCAGCCCACCTTCTGTTGCTATTGCTGGGGCCACAGGGCTGCACCACTGGAGCCAGGAGGCGCCTCCATGCACCTCGATTCCCCCACCCGTGGTGGCAGCTCCCCCTCCCCGTTGGCGCGCACACCATGACAAAAGAAAGTTAAGAAATCCTTCAACCAGAGCCTGGCTGAGGGGAAGCTCTTCATCTACAACTGGACCACCGGAGAATTCACTGGGTTCTTGTCCTCACCTCAGCACTCATGCACTGGGCCATTTGGGCCATGTGCACCCACCTTTGGGCTCTGCCCTGCCCTGACTGGAGGAACACAGAGACCAGGGGCTCACTGCCATCAGTGCTTCCTGCTTCCCTCCCTGGCCACCAAGGTGTCTCAAGGCTGGCCAGGGATTTGGACCCCATATCTGAGGTTCCTTCTGCTTTCAAAAAGACTTCCTTCTTGCTATCCCAACCTCCACTAATAGCCTAATAATACCTAGGAGGCAACGCAGGGAATGATGTTCATCCAACTTCTGCCAAGGCAAGCAGTGCACTAGTGCACTCCGTTATCCTTGTGGCCACCCTGATGGTAGGTACTGTTCTCCACCCCATTTCACAGATGAGAAAACAGAGGCTCAGAGAACTAAAGCATTTGCCCAGGGTCCAACAACTCATAATAGTAGAGTCAGGATGGACTTTCCAGGCAGTCCGGGCCCCCTCTCTTCACTACATCACCCACTTTGGTCAAATATCTTCATTGGTCCCACTGACCATCGGAGAAAGCCCAAATGTCTTGTCTGATATTTGAGGCATCCGAGGCTCTGCACCGGCTGCCCCATGCTGCCTTCCCAGCCTCACAGCCCATCACTTGCCTGCACCTGCCCCTGTCCCTTCAGAGTGCTCCTACCACACCCAAACAACGCCTCAATGCCTTCCTTCACACCGGCTCTTCCCCTTGCCTGGAACACCTTGCCTATGCACCTTCACATTATCAGAGCCTGTTCCTGCATCCCTGCCTCCTTTTACTCCCTTCCTTTTCAATGAAATGTTCCCTGACCTTGCGCTCTAACCCCTTCAGTGCTGACCAGAGAGTGGTTCTGGTTGCAGGCTCTCTCTCATATTGTGATGCCGCTCTCCTGGATGACGGCCTCCCTGAGAAAATTCAAATCAGTGTCAAGGGTTCTGGCATCCCCTATGGTACCTTGCATCCTACATGTTTCATTAAAACTTGCTGATGTGAATTGAAAGAATTGGGGGCCAATGGTCTAGAAACACCTGAGGGCACCCGTCCCCACAGAGCTGCTATAGGGCTGGGCGAGGAGGGAAAGGGTCTCAGGGAGGGACCCCCAGGGTAGTAGCTCTCCCCGCAAAGTTGGGGGGACCGGTGCTCCCCCCAGGGTTTAGTCTAAGCTTCTTTGCTTCCCCCCTCCTCAAATAGGGTGGGGTGGTAGAAAAGAGCCCAGACCTGGGTGTTGAGAAACTCCTCTTTCAGCTCTACCACCCGAGGCTGTGTGAGGCTGTGTGAGCTTGAGAGCAGGCTACTTCCTGTCTCTGGCCTCAGCCCCCAACTCTAAGATAGACAGTGGATGATGTTCAAAGCCTTTTTGAGCTCTCGGTTCTGCAATTGCAAGGTGGCACAACCTCTTGTGCTGGCCGTGGGCCCACAGCCCAAGTTTCTACTGTGCTGGGCCCAAAGGCAGAACATGCAAAGGCTCAGGTCACCAGGCCCCAAGTCAGGAAGGAAGGACAGGCAGCTGCGACCACAGGCCTCTGGGCCCAAGCCAGACTGTCCTCTAGGGCAGTGCAATCCTATCCGTATTGTCTTGCCCCTGTCATTCTCCTCCAGCTTTATTTACTTCAACCAAATGCTTTACCCACATACCTGACATCATCACCAAAGCACGCCTGGAGGGAGGGCTCACAATCCCATAGGTGCCCATACACCTGCCACCAGGAGGTAAAAATGTCCTCACCTGCCAAAACAAACCCACCCAGCTCAGCCCACCAGGCAGCAGTGGGAGAGGCCAACGTGCCCCTTCACGTCCCAGTGGATCTGGACAGAGGTGCCTGCTGTGGTGCCAATCCGGCAGCTGGTCCTCCAGGTGGGACCTGTGTCAGTGGGTGATTTCCAGCACAGCGTGTCCAGGAGCCCCTGCAGGATGAAGGCGGCATCTGGGGGTGATGTCGAAACGTGTAAATGACCAGAGCTTAGACTCAGTCAGGTCTGGGTTCAAATCCCAGCTCTGCCACTCACAGGAAAACCTGGGCAAAGTCATTGGATCTCTTGGAGCCCTGGTTTCCCATCTGTATAATGGAACAATACCTGCTATGGCACAGAGTTGTTCTGAGGACTCAGAGATGGTCACATAAGGAGTGGTGCCCGCTGAGATTCAGAGAATGGTAGCTATGTCTGTTCTCCCCTTTCTGGGGTACAGTATTGACAACAGTCACCCCTGGGAACTTTCCCGAATCCCTGCCGCATCACCTGCATATGGCTGGAGAACATGCCCGTCACTGACCCACATCCTCCCTCACTCACCTTCTGCTCCCTCTTCCCACCCCTCTTCCCCCCAGACTCACAGCGCTGGGGCTGACCCCAGGTCATTTAGTCCTCTCATGTTGCAGAGCAGCCTGAGAAGTCAAGAATCCACCAAGGCTACTGATCTAGGAACAGAGTCCAAGTCTGCTGGGCCCTGGCCTAGTGTCCTCTCCAGGCACCCATGTGACTGCTTGTCACCAGAAAAGGCTGCTCAGCTCAGCAGAGCAGGAGCCTTGGGACGAGGAAGCTACCTGTGAACCTTTACTGGCAATGTCAAGCACGGCCCCAGATTATTCGGGAAATGCTGGGCAACCTGAGAAAGCAAGGCTGCTCACTGCCAGGCCTCTGTGGGCAGTTTTCCATGGGCTGCAGCTTACTCTCCTGGCTGGCACTCTGTAGATGACACTCCACCAGCCTCCAGTATCACCCAGGCCCCAGGCAAGTGTCCATCTCTGGCCAGCTCAGCTTCTGCTACAGCGGACTGGCTTCCTCATCACCCCCACACCCATCTGCAGGTCTCTCTGCTGGAATGCCTTCCTGACAAGCTTCTCCTCCCCCCTCACCACCCAGCTCCATCTCTTCCACACTGGAATGTGTTCTGTGACCCCTCCACTCCAACGCACGTAACTACTTGCTTCCACCCAAGGGCCGGTGTGGTAGCCTGACATGGCTCTGGCAGAGAACCAGCTGCATTAAAATTACTTCCTCTTGTGTCCTCTTCTCACTATACCAAAGCCCCACAAGGGGCGTAGGGACCTTCCTCTTATTTCCATTTCTACAAACAAGAGTGGCTGGCTTTTCGGTTCAGCAACTGTTCACTCAGTTCGCAGGCCAGCACTCAGTCCACTGAGCCACGCCAACCAGGGCCCAATGGCCTTGTTTGAACTGCGCTCATCTGTCAACTGCATCCACAGGTTGGCTGCTGATGCAAGACTTTGGGAAAAACGGAGGAAAGTGCTGTATGAAAATCACTTGGCTCTCTGGAATTTATAATAAAAAGTGTTGTATATTTTATTGTTTGTAAACTGTGTTACAAATATTTATACCAAACCATTCACAGTAAATGTGTGTGTGTGTACATTTGCTTTCCAGAGATCTGGCTGTTACCAGAATACCACTGCACAGAACCTCAGTCAGGTAGGTTACTGTCTATGTTTTCCACACAAGAAACTGAGGAACAGAGAAGGTAAGTAATGTATTCAAGGTCATACAGCTAATAAGTGGGGGAGCTAGGGTGCAGCTCAGGTCTCAGTGTCAGGGTACCTGCTCTGTCTACCACTTTCCACCACTT